TATCTCCCCCCCCCCCCCCGGCAAATATGCAAATTATGCTAATGAGTTTTATTGTTGTCGTTCTTGTTAGTATATTAGTGAGCTTAAGCAAGTGACGTTTTTGACAACACGGACGACATGAGTAACGTCAGAAGACTGGGTCAAGGGCTGTGATTGGTGAAAAACGTCAACTTTACTTCCGGTCGACGTCCGTGTTGTCAAAAACGTCACTTGCTTAAGCTCACTATTGTCTTCATTTTCCATTATAAAATTGCAAACCCTTGGATACTGTACCTACACTGTAGGAAGAAGAGTTTACCGGAACTACTGTTATACATCTGGTATAAATAAAGTTTGTTCAGTTTAGGTTTTCCCCTGAGAACAAGTTTGAAACTGATGGAGTTGTTTTAAAGGCTTTTTAAATGAGCCGGGCCAGTCGTTTGAAACTCTGAATAAACTTTATACTGTTACTGGAATCAAACTAAGCTAATTCAACTTTGTAATGTCATTTTGGATTTAGGTCTCGTTTCGTAGTAATACAGGATCAATAAGGGATGATCCTTACTGGAGAACAGTTTAGGACTGATAGAGCTATCCAGTATAAATAAAGTTAGTTTAGTTTAGGTTTCCTCCTGTAGTAACACTGGGTCAATAAGAGATGATCCTTACTGGACCTCTAGGAAGAACAGTTTAGAACTTGATAGAGCTATCCAGTATAAATAAAATTAGTTTAGTTTAGGTTTCCTCCTGTAGTGGATCAATAAGAGATGATCCTTACTAGAGCTCTAGGGAGAACAGTTCAGAACTGATAGAGATATCCAGTATGAATAAAGTTAGTTTAGTTTAGGTCTCCTCCTGTAGTAATACTGCATGGGATAATAAATGGTGGTCTTCACCGGACCTCTAGGGAGAACAGTTTAGAACTGGTAGAACAAACTATGACTAGTTTGAACTATAATCACTTCGAAATAGACACACGCCACAAAGAAAAGGCACATGACTATAGTTGCACTATGATAAGAGCTTTCGCCCCGCGCGCACGGGTAATATCCAGTCAATTTTCATCAACTCTCATGCAACTCTTGCTCTCGTTTGACCGGGACATGAGAGTTGCGAAAACTCTCATGCAAACTATCGCTTCTCAGCTCTCATCAACTTCCTTCAACCGACTATACTGTGACAGCCAAATACAATGAATCAGCGTGACTCTTCGAGAATATTGCCGGCTGAACTCTCTAGGGGTCGATATATTTCAATTCAGTCCCTAGCCAAAACAACGTGCTTCGAAAAATATATTACCAGACTAAAGTGACACAAATTTAAGTAACAGTTTTACTGTTAGAAAGTAGTGATTTCGCAATAAGTTTATTTTAAATTACCCTCTTGTACAACGGTACAATAATATGTACACACCCCGACAATGACAACGACAGGAAATCTTACTATAGAGCTCAAGTACGTCAACTACGTCAAAAAAACACAATATTGCTGAGGAATTTCGTTCCTGTTTGGCACAAAATTCCATCATGTGAGCGTATATCCTCGTTTTTGGATTCTTGGACAGAATTTGGAGCCAGTCTCGCAGACAGAACTTGTGTCTCTAGTACTGTATGGTCATTAGACACTACTCTGTTTGTCGCAGTTGGCTGGAATTTTAGAAGCAATGGGTGTTTGTATAATATGTTTCTACCAGTATTTGTTTGTTCTTGTCTGGGTTAGTGTACGCTCAACTGTATTTTCATCACAAGCAATGCGTTTAACCGCAACACAGTAAGTATAGTTTCTAAAATGTTTTTTCCTATGTACAATATTGCCGCATAACCAAACAATTAAGATAATGTTGTTTACAGGTGATAGGGCTAGGGGCCCACCAGGAACCTTAATTAACAGGCTTTTTATCTGGGCCTCTAGACTGTAGTTATATTCAGTATATGTTACATATTGAAATTACTTCTTGAAGACCAATTTAACTGAGCAACACAACTTTTGCCTAAAACTGTTACATGCAACCTGCTTACAACTTGAGTTGTATTGTGTGACTTGTGTTAATGAAGCACGGCGAGCAACTCTATCACCTACAACAACGTATAGGCGTGTTTTGTGCTTGATTTACAAAGCATGCGATAGTTTTAATTAAGGCAAATAAAGTTGTTAAATGATACAGTCAAATGAAATAAAGGAAAGAAATGTTTTAGAATACAGTATATAATATTTACAAAACAAAGCGGAAGTAGAATAATTATGCAGATTTAATACAATTGCAATACGAAGATAAAAATGTTTCGTGGACTATATCTAATGAGAGTCAGAGATTGCTCTGTATACCTTTGAAAAGCTTACATGCATCATTCCAAGACACTACAATTACAAATGATTTAGTTGGTTTCACGAGTCTGTCGATAACTAGTTTCTTAAACAAAAATTCTTTAAATGGTTTCTTGAATGTGTTACTGATATTAAAAGTAATGTTATTTCAGTATATGTATTTAACGATGCAGTTATTCCTAGAAATTTGCAAGTTCCCAAACTATCTACTTGTTGTGTGTATATTTCACTAATTTAACACTTCGTGTCTGAACTACCTAAAAAGATGCCTTAAACATGGTGGCCCAGTGTAGGTAGTATTCTACAATAAGCTGTCGGGGTTTATGTCTGAACTACATGAAAAAGTCTCAAACATGGTGGCCCAATATAGGTATAGTATTCTACAATAAGCTGTCGTGTTTTTATTTCTGAACTGCCTGAAAAAGATATCTCAAACGTGGTGGTTCAGTGTAGGTATTCTACAATAAGTTGTCGTGTTTTCGCTGTCTGAACTACCATCTGAAAAGATATCTCAAACGTGGTGGTCCATTGACCATTGTGGATAGTATTCTTAAACGAGCTATCTGGTATCTTGTGCATTCTATTGTTTATAACGGAGTCATTAATTACCTTTTCTAGGTACTCATTAATATTAAGTACCATTTATCAAAATATCAGAGGTCACGCGAACACTGCCTGGATACAACTAGCCAACTGTCGCTGGCAAACCGCTTCAAATAGTTTTAATTCCATAGCATGTTTTGTCGATATAGATCCAAGATTCAAGCGTATCTTAACGCGCAGACCAATTTAACAGATGAGCTGCTAGTTGGTTATGACAAGAGGTTTATACCAACTATCCCAGGTGCGCATAAGCTAAACACATAAAATCTAACTTTATTAATGAATTCTAATAATATTCTATTCTTATCGTTTTACCTTCATTAAAAAAGTTGAAATATTTATTATCATGTTTTCTAGGGGAACCTTTAAAAGTCAAACTTGAAATCAAAATTCCGGAAGTCTTAAGATTGGATGAAC